GCAAAAAATTTGATGTTACCTGACAGCACGTCAAGGAACCTACAGACCAATTCAGTTTTCCTGCTAAATTTAGCAAAAAAATTGAAGTCACATGACCTACACACAAATTCAGGTTGCTCTCTAAATTTGGCGGTAAATTTGACGTTACGTGGGCGCATGTCAAGGAACTTACAGACCAATTTAGTTTCTCTACTAAATATTGTTGATAAATTGACATCCGATGACCTGTACACCAATTCAGTTTTCCTGCTAAATTTAGCAAAAAATTGAGGTCACATGACCGTTACACAAATTTAGGTTGCTCTCTAAATTTAGCGGGGAATTTGATGTTACCTGACTTCACGTCAAGGAACCTACAGACCAATTCAGTTTTCCTGCTAAATTTAGCACAAAAATTGACGTCACATGACCTACACACAAATTCAGGTTGCTCTCTAAATTTGGCGGTAAATTTGATGTTACGTGGCCGCATGTCAAGGAACTTACAGACCAATTCAGTTTCTCTACTAAATATTGTTGATAAATTGACATCACATGTCCTGTACACCAATTCAGTTTTCCTGCTAAATTTAGCAAAAAATTGAGGTCACATGACCATTACACAAATTTAGGCTGCTCTCTAAATTTATCGGAGAATTTGATGTTACCTGACATCACGTCAAGGAACCTACAGACCAATTCAGTTTTCCTGCTAAATTTAGCAAAACAATTGACGTCCCATGACCTACACACAAATTCAGGTTGCTCTCTAAATTTGGCGGTAAATTTGATGTTATGGGGCCACATGTCAAGGAACTTACAGACCAATTCAGTTTCTCTACTAAATGTCGCGAATAAATTGCTGTAGCGTGACCTACAGACAAAATCAGGTTGCTCTCTAAATTTAGCGGGAAATTTGATGTTACCTGACATCTAGTGAAGGAACCTACAGACCAATTCAGTTTTCCTGCTAAATTTAGCAAAAAAAATGACGTCACATGACCTATATGGTAACTCAGATTGTTCTCTGAATTTAGCGGGAAATTTGATGTTGCCTGACTTCACATCAAAGAACCTAAAGGCCAATGCAGTTCTCCTGCTAAATTTAGCAAAATAATTTACGTCAGAGAACCTATACACAAATTAAGGTTGCCCACTAAATTTAGCGGGAACTTTGATGTTACCTCACCTGGCGTCAAAGAAACTACAGACCAATTCAGTTGCTCTGCTAAATGTCGTGGACAAATTGACATCACATGACCTATACACCAGTTCAGTTTTCCTGCTAAACTTAGGAAAAAATTGACGTCAGATGACCTATACACAAATTCAGGTTCCCTCTAAATTTAGCGGGAAATTTGATGTTACCTCACCTCGCGTCAAGGAACCTACATACCAATTCAGTTTCTCTGCTAAATGTCGTGGACAAATCTACATCCCATAACCTATACACCAATTCAGTGTTCCTGCTAAACTTAGCAAAAAATTGATGTCAGATGACCTATAACAAATTCAGGTTGCCCTCCATATTTAGCGGGAAATTTGATGTTGCTTGACATTACGTCAAGGAACCTACAGACCAATCCAGCTTTCCTGCTAAATTTAGCAAAAAAAATGACGTCACATGAAATATACGCAAACTCAGGTTGCTTTCTAAATTTAGCGTGAAATTTTATGTTACTTGACATTACGTCAAGGAACCTACAGACGAATTCAGTTTTCCCGCTAAATTCAGCAAACGAATTGAAGTCACATGACCTACACACAAATTCAGGTTGCTCTCTAAATTTAGCGGGAAATTTGATGTTACGTGGCCTTACGTCAAGGAACATACAGAGCAATTCAGTTTCTCTAATAAATGTCGTTGATAAATTGACATCACATGACCTGTACACCAATTCAGCTTTCCTGCTAAATTAAGCAAAAAATTGAGGTCACATGACCATTACACAAATTTAGGTTGCTCTCTAAATTTAGCGGGGAATTTGATGTTACCTGACTTCACGTGAAGGAACCTGCAGACCAATTCAGTTTTCCTGCTAAATTTAGCAAAACAATTGACGTCACATGACCTACACACAAATTCAGGTTGCTCTCTAAATTTGGCGGTAAATTTGATGTTACGTGACCGCATGTCAAGGGACTTACAGACCAATTCAGTTTCTCTACTAAATGTTGTTGATAAATTGACATCACATGACCTGTACACCAATTCAGTTTTCCTGCTAAATTTAGCAAAAAATTGAGGTCACATGACCATTACACAAATTTAGGTTGCTCTCTAATTTTAGCGGGGAATTTGATGTAACCTGACTTCACATCAAGGAACCTACAGAACAATTCAGTTTTCCTGCTAAATTTATCAAAAGAATTGAAGTCACATGACCTACACACAAATTCAGGTTGCTCTCTAAATTTGGCGGTAAATTTGATGTTACGTGGCCGCATGTCAGGGAACTTACAGACCAATTCAGTTTCTCTACTAAATGTCGTTGATAAATTGAGATCACATGACCCGTACACCAATTCAGTTTTCCTGCTAAATTTAGCAAAAAATTTAGGTCACATGACCATTACACAAATTTAGGTTGCTCTCTAAATTTAGCAAAAAATTTGATGTTACCTGACAGCACGTCAAGGAACCTACAGACCAATTCAGTTTTCCTGCTAAATTTAGCAAAAAAATTGAAGTCACATGACCTACACACAAATTCAGGTTGCTCTCTAAATTTGGCGGTAAATTTGACGTTACGTGGGCGCATGTCAAGGAACTTACAGACCAATTTAGTTTCTCTACTAAATATTGTTGATAAATTGACATCCGATGACCTGTACACCAATTCAGTTTTCCTGCTAAATTTAGCAAAAAATTGAGTTCGCATGACCATTACAGAAATTTAGGTTGCTCTCTAAATTTAGCGGGGAATTTGATGTTACCTGACTTCACGTCAAGGAACCTACAGACCAATTCAGTTTTCCTGCTAAATTTAGCACAAGAATTGACGTCACATGACCTACACACAAATTCAGGTTGCTCTCTAAATTTGGCGGTAAATTTGATGTTACGTGGCCGCATGTCAAGGAACTTACAGACCAATTCAGTTTCTCTACTAAATGTTGTTGATTAATTGACATCACATGACCTGTACACCAATTCAGTTTTCCTGCTAAATTTAGCAAAAAATTGAGGTCACATGACCATTACACAAATTTAGGTTGCTCTCTAAATTTAGCGGGGAATTTGATGTTACCTGACTTCACGTCAAGGAACCTGCAGACCAATTCAGTTTTCCTGCTAAATTCAGCACAAAAATTGACGTCACATGACCTACACACAAATTCAGGTTGCTCTCTAAATTTGGCGGTAAATTTGAGAGTTACGTGGCCGCATGTCAAGAAACTTACCGACCAATTCAGTTTCTCTACTAAATGTTGTTGATAAGTTGACATCACATGACCTGTACACCAATTCAGTTTTCCTGCTAAATTTAGCAAAAAATTGAGGTCACATGACCATTACACAAATTTAGGTTGCTCTCTAAATTTAGCGGGGAACTTGATGTTACCTGACTTCACGTCAAGGAACCTACAGACCGATTCAGTTTTCCTGCTAAATTCAGCACAAGAATTGACGTCACATGACCTACACACAAATTCAGGTTGCTCTCTAAATTTGGCGGTAAATTTGATGTTACGTGGCCGCATGTCAAGGAACTTACAGACCAATTCAGTTTCTCTACTAAATGTTGTTGATAAATTGACATCACATGACCTGTACACCAATTCAGTTTTCCTGCTAAATTTAGCAAAAAATTGGGGTCACATGACCATTACACAAAGTCAGGTTGTTCTCTAAATTTAGCGAAACATTTGATGTTACCTGACAGCACGTCAAGGAACCTACAGACCAATTCAATTTTCCTGCTAAATTTAGCAAAACAATTGACGTCACATGACCTATACACAAATTTAGTTTTCCTGCTAAATTTAGCTTACAATTAATGACGTGACCTGACGTTACGTGACTTATACGCCCAATTCAGCTTCCCCGATAAATATTATCGAATATTGACGTCACGTAACCTGATATCACGCGATAGATACAAACACGTAGTGTCGTCGGCAAACCTAGCTGGAAAATATACGTGACGTGACACGACGTGGTGTGATCTATACTCTAAAAGACTAAATAATCTTCAAGACAAATTAAATTAATTACTTCTTAAACACTGTATTTCATGCATCGTAGAAAATTGAAAGCAAAGGTGGCCGCCATTTTTTAATTTTGTGTATGTTTTTGTTTAGAAATTAATGTTTTATTATTATGGGTGTGAGGGAAGATTATGTGACAAACAGATCACTTTGAAGCACGAAGACTACCTGTCTAGCGAGATACCGGAGGCGTACAAATTAAAAAAAAAATATTGTTCGCCAGCCAACCGTCATGTGCAGTGCTAGAGTGTGTGTTGATAATTTTGGATTTCGGCTTGCTGTTTTTTATCTCTTTTTTATGTTTTTATTAATAGACATTGTTGTGGCTTACGACCACGGTGCTTACGACAAGAGACAGGACGAGGTGCAGCCGATGTAGCTTCCAGAGCCAAACGGTTTTAATGTCCCGTGCATTTCGTTTCGTCTCGCACATCCCAGGCGCGCGCTCACTTCTTTGCCCGCTCCTCGCGCTATTTATTGAAACAATACTCAAACACAACACTCCTTCCCCATCAATGTTTTGGCTGACTCACACAAGAATACCTCTCCGGTGGCCTACGTTGTCGTATGCTACTTCGAAGCACTGGTGTGGTCGGTACCGCTGTCTCGGAAACAGGCTCCATATCGAGGGCAGCAGGCTCTGTCATGTTGTCTCGAGAACCACCGGACGCCCTTCGTGGTGTTGCAGCCGGAGTGTCGACATTTCTTCTCTGTGCAGACGAATCTTCGAAGTGTCTCGGACGGACATCATCCACGTGCACATACCGATGCTGATCTTGCACTATCACGACGTAGGTTGATGCACTTACTTTCTTCATAACACGTCCCACCAACCATGCAGGATCTGTCGGACGTGATCCCCGGACGAGGACTTGGTCGCCTTCTTCGAAAGTTCGCCAAGAGCCTCTTCTCATGTCGGCGGCTGTCTTGATTTGTTGCTGGCGATCTCTCATGCGTCTCTCCATTTCAGGATGAGGGAAGCTCAGACGGGTCCTAGGCTTCCAAGAGAGAAACAGCTCGGCTGGAGTTCTGTCGGTCGTACCAGTTGGGGTGTTTCTGTATGCAAACAGGAACTGGTCGACTCGATGTTGCATCGATTTCGGTACACCCGTCCGTTGCTCGTCGATTACCTGCCTCAGGAGGTCCCGCTTGACGGTTTGCACACACCGTTCCGCGCTTCCGTTTGAGGCGGGATGGTACGGAGGACTTTTCGTGTGGCGTACCCCATTCATCGACAGAAACTCTACGAACTCTGTCGCCACAAACTGGGGTCCATTGTCTGTCACTACCTCTTCTGGTAGTCCAAACGCGGCGAAAACACTTCGCAATCTTTCGATAGTACATTTCGTCGTAGTGGAACTCATTAGAAACACCTCTACCCACTTTGAATGAGCATCTACGACAATCAAAAACCAGTTCTGATCCCGGTATGCAAAATCAAGATGCACCCTTTGCCATCTGCGCGTTGGCCAACCCCACGTTAATAATGGAACACGTGGTGGCGCGTTCTGCGTTAGTTGACAAGTACTACAGTTTTTGACAGTGTTTTCGACATCATATGTTATCAAAGGCCACCACACGTGACTACGTGATAGCATTTTCATTCTGGTGGTGCCTGGATGTCCCTCGTGCAACAGGGACAACACTTTTTTTCTAAACACTTCGGGAATGATCACTCGATTTCCCCATGTTACACACCCTTGGTCAACCGACAATTCGTGACGGCGCACAAAGTACGGTTGCAATGCCTCATTATCCACATGTGAAGGCCATCCGTTCAGTGTGAAAAACAACACTCTTTTCATCACACTATCCTTTTCAGTTTCTCTCCTAATTTCACGAGCTGACAATGGCACTTCGTCCACCGCCGAAAAGAAACTGACGTAGTCTGAGCTATCGTTCACGTTGGGCAAAGGCAGACGTGACAGCGCATCAGCATTCTGAATCTGGCTACCCTTCCGATAAACCCACTTGTAACTGTAGGCAGCAAGTAAGAGAGCCCACCTCTGCATCCTGGCTGCTGACATCGCCGGAATTTGTTTTTCATGACCTAACAGCCCTGCCAACGGCTGGTGATCCGAATAGATGCTGAAATTTCTGCCATACAGATACTTGTGAAACTTTTTCAACCCAAAAACAACTGCTAGGGCCTCTTTTTCAATTTGGGCGTAACCCTTTTCAGCCTTGCTCAGAGTTCGTGATGCATAAGCAATCGGTTTCTCATCATTCCCAACTCTGTGAAAAAGAACCGCTCCCACTCCGTACACTGAAGCGTCACATACAAGCCCCAATTCCTTTTTTGGGTCATAGAACGTTAAGACGTTTTCATGCGTAAGCCACGCCTTACTTCTGTTGAATGCGTTGTCTTCTGCCCTTGACCAACGCCATTTTGTGCCCTTCTGTAATAAGTCATACAACGGCTTCAGCTCGGTTGACATGTTCAGCACAAACTTGCCATAAAAGTTAATCATGCCCAAGTAGGCGCGCAGTTCTGATTCATTTTTGGGGCATGGGGCCTCCCGTATGGCCTTTACTTTCTCTTCCGATGGTCGAACCCCATGTTGATCTATCACATGTCCCAAATAATGAACAGACGTCTGAAAAAATCTACATTTTTCTTTCTTTAGTCTGATGCCTTGTTGGCTGAACCGTGCCAGCACGCTTTCCACCTTTTTGTAGCAGTCCTCATAAGTTTCGCCCGCTATTAGTACATCGTCTAGATAGCACGCGACATTTCTCAGCCCTTCCAGTACTTTGTCCATGACGGACTGAAAAATTGCAGGAGCACTAGTGATGCCGTAAGGCAATCTCGTGGACTTAAACAAGCCAAGGTGTGTGTTCACAGTGACCAAATCTTGTGACTCCGGATGCAATTCCAGCTGCTGGTAGGCTGTAGACAGATCAAGTACGGTAAAGTACTTACAACCACTCAGTAAAACGAACAAGTCTTCCATGAGCGGGAGAGGGTAGTGATCCGTCCGACAGACTGGGTTTAAGGTCACTTTGTAATCTCCACACAACCGGACCTGTTTGTTTGGTTTAGGTACCACTACCAAAGGTGTCGCCCACTCACTTTGCAACACTGGTACCAATATTCCTTTTGTTACTAATGATTGAATTTCCTGCTCCACAGCTTCTCTTAGCGCATAGGGCACAGGTCGCGGTTTGCAGTAGACAGGGGTGCTTTGTTCCTTCAAAACCAGTTTGACCTGTTGTCCTTTTATCAAACCCACACCTTCTCCAAAAAGTTCAGCGTACTTCTCAAGGAGCCTTGCTTCCTTTTCTTCTCTTACACTGTTTACGCATGACCAGTCTAGCCTCAGCTCTTCTAGCCAGTCTCGACCAAGCAGCGGGGTTACGTTGCCCCCTGGTGCCTTAACTACAATAAGAGGAAGTGTCTTTCTCTGTCCATTGTGCTCGACTGGTACTGACAACTTCCCAGTCACCGTGAGAAAATTCCCCCCATACGTTCTCAATTTAAGGTTGCATGGCTCCTTAGGAATGTTTGCCCAGTATTTCACACACCACGATTCAGGCACTACCGACACGGACGCTCCAGTGTCTATCTGCATTCTTACGAGCTTGTCGGCTACTTTAACATCTACTTCATAGTTACGCCTTCCCGTTTCACACGCGTACACTGTGTAAAGCTGCATATCATCAGCTCTTTCACTTGCGACGTGTTTAACGGAGTCTGTTTTGAACCTACAAACTTTTGCCAGGTGTCCGACCTTTTTACAGACATGACATTTGTACTTGCGGTACTTGCAGGGCTGTCCAGTGTGTACCTGTCCGCAGTAGGAACATGAAGACGTGGTGTCTCCCGTATGCCCGGATGTCTGTTTAGTCGTGGAAGCTCGTGGACCCTTATTTGACTTGCGCCACGGTTCCCTTTTCTGTTGCTGAACCGCGTTCACGTCGTCTTCTTCTCGTTGGCTAGACGACCTATGACGACCTGCAGTAGGCTGAAACGTGATGGTTTCCTTGCGTGCGAGCTCGATGCTTTTAGCAATGTCACACGCGGCACCAAACGTCAACGTCGTCTTCTTCAACAAGTCGGACTGTGTTTTCTTGTCTTTTAATCCCGCGACGAACCTGTCGCGCAAAGCATCATCCAAGAAACTGCCGAACTCGCAAGTCGACGCGAGCCTCTTCAGCTCCACTGAAAAAGTGGCTACCGTCTCCTCTTCCTTTTGGTAGCGACGGTTAAACTTAAACCGCTCTGCTATCACCATCGGCCTCGGAGCGTAATGACCTTTCAGAACCGCCACCAACTCCTCCCAGCTTTTCTCTTCTGGTTTGACCGGATGGAGTAAAGTCTTAAGAGTCTTGTACGGTTTCTGGCCAATTGCGGTGACAAAAGCAGAGAGCCTTAGAGCTTCGCTTACCTTTGTAGCCTTTAGGTAGTGTTCGAATCTTTCGACGTAAGATTCAAAATCTTCGTCACCATCCTCCACAAATGGATCGAACCTTCCCAACCCTGCCATGTTCGTTCGTCCTTGCCGTGGCCCGGTGGATTCCTTCTACGATGCCCGTTGCAGTCGTGATGGACGTTCCATACCTCGTCGCCAATTATGTTGTGGCTTACGACCACGGTGCTTACGACAAGAGACAGGACGAGGTGCAGCCGATGTAGCTTCCAGAGCCAAACGGTTTTAATGTCCCGTGCATTTCGTTTCGTCTCGCACATCCCAGGCGCGCGCTCACTTCTTTGCCCGCTCCTCGCGCTATTTATTGAAACAATACTCAAACACAACAGACATCTTTCATCCGCGCTGTCAAAAAAAGTTAGGGTCATTTTTGTGTACCCTCCTAATACAATTCTTCAGTTAAAGCAGGCCTGGGCAGTGTCGCGATACAAATGCATCGCGATAGTACCTTAGGGATACTTTCGAGTATTTGTATCTCTGCATCGAAGTACAAATACAAAAATGTATTTGTATTTCAGGAGGGAAATACATTTACAATGTATCGCTTGTATTGTGATAGTTGCCAGACTTATGTATCTCTTTACATTTTTGCCCTTTTCAAGATAAATTTTGGGATAAAAACATATGTTTGTTGCAAGTTGCTTCTCAATGTAAAAGATGAACCCGCCCTGTAACATGCTTCACCACAGTCACCAATACAAAAAATAAAGGCCGTGGTTTAAATAAGGTTACTAGCAAAAATAACAAAATCAGCTTCTCTTACAAAGCCCTCAACTCTTTCCAATTTAGCAGAGCGAACGCTGTAAAGGAGCTGGGCGGAGAAAAAGTACGGCTCTGTTGTCCATTCTTCCCGAACTATCGGTGACTCAGAAGGATATAAGACGTCAATTTGAGATGCGCCCTCGTAGCAAAACCGGGTTAATTTCGGGCACATGCCTTTTGTCAAGCATGCTACGCTGCCTTTACCGTTCGGTAACTATGTCGTTCAACAGCAGTGACATATATTTTTAGCGTCATTGATGTTAAATAAAGAGTTCGAGGCAAGGAGAAGTGAATAACGTGTCACAAAAAAAAGCAAACGAATAAATTACCATTCGCATTCACCACCAACTACACCCTCCCCACGAAGCACCTTCGGGAACAAACGTATTTCAATAAGTATCTCTATCTGTATTCCGGAATACATTTCGCTGTTTCTGCGGAAGTATCATAGAGATCCCTTACAGAAATGTCATATCTGGACTTATATTAAAAAATACAGATATGGATATATAAGGAATAAAGCAGATATGGCCAGATATGCACAATCAGGCCATATCTGGATGGATATACCCATATCTGCCCAATTCCTTATATACCCATATCCGCCCAATTCCTTATATATCCATATCATCCCAATTCCTCATATTCCATATATAGACTGCTTTATATGATCGCGTGTTTGGGTCTGGCAGATAGGGTACCCACCCTATATAAAGCAATTCTCATATGATGCTCCTTCTGGCATCACATGAAAATTATTGCCATGGGACAGTTACCATAGTTTCCAGGTCCAGACACGGGATCATATAATGCATTTCTATGAGTATCCACAAAATACACATCATACTGTATCCCACACTGCCCCAAACGTGTGTTCACGTAGATATATCTACAGAATAGGCCACTGACCAGTCTTTATTGGCCGGGTTCGGAAATTGTCATTCCAACAAATACGTATGCTACAAAGATAGAATGTAGGCGATCGCTAGTTAGAAAACATTGTAACATATCATTCGACGTCGGAAATTCACAGCCCTTTGGCGGGATTGGTTGTCGTGAGAGCAGACCGAGAGTTTGGTTTGCAAAAGAAGTTTTATACATGAAAGCGTGAAAACTCCAAACAAGCACTTCCCTGTTCAAGAAAAAATTATAAGGAACAAAACTGTAATATCGCGCGGACAACCATTAAAATAAACTAAAAATGTAATAGCACACAGACACCTATTAAAATAAAACAAACGGAAGGCAACAATTAAGCTGTAAACTATATGGAAGTTCCAAGTCGTTGATTCTTACTCACAGAGTCACAGGCCTGATTCAACTCTCCGGTCGAGCACAGTAGTTTTGACAAGGGCTTGCTTGCTAGCCTCATCGTTGAAGTCCTTCCTTGCACCGTGGGATGTTCAAAGCCCCCAGTCGCTCCTCGCTGGCCTTGTTTTTCCGTTC